CAACCAGCCGTCTGTCGGCCACCAGGTGCCGATGACAAACGAGCTCAACTCTGGAGCGTCATTAATAACGGCGCGGAGCTCCGCAATTGGCTACGACACGTCCGCGAATGAAGTTGTATATTATTTACAAGTTGAGGTAAGCTCCGATTCAAATTGCACCTAGTTGCTTTTCACAACGGAAATAGCACCAGCTTACGTTTGCATTTGCTTAGAATATGTATGGTGAAGACTGATATTACTTGTCTAATTCTATTGAGTGGCACATATTTCATCAACATATTACATTGCAATATATTGATATTCATAATATGCTATTGGGTTTCTGTAATTGAACAGAACCCCCATAGAATAAACCAGTTTTCTAAACGTGTTCAATAACGTAAGAAAACACACCAATGCATCACATTTCCCATGCTTTTTAGTTTTTACCAAGGCCCTCTAACCATTTTTAAATTTGCCTTTTCTTTCTTCATTTTACATACTTTTAGGTATGTCCATTAGTTTGTCTATTCAAGTGCTCATTTCACATTCGTCGTTTCTCTTCTTATTACAGCAGAGAAAAGGCTGATAGTAAAACTGTGCGACAATAGTAGTTCGCTCAGCTGGTCTAAAAGTACCCCAAAGGCTCCAGCCGGCGGCAAACAACCTATCCGTTTTTGTGAGCTCACGGGCTATAGCTCCGGTGGCTGTTTGCTCTACCCTTCGGCAGGCTGCCGAGGAATGTCAGATGCACGAAACCGAGCCCAATCGCAGATCCTGTGTACAGAGTAAATGCTGCCAGCGCCGAATTGGCAGGCCAGATATGCGCAGCGGTCCCGACGAAGTCGGGCCGTGGCGGCCGCCGAAGGTGCGAGGTCTGTGGTTGGAAGGTACAACAGGCGAAATTGAGTCGTTTGCACCACTCGACGTTGGTGTGATTATTCAGCACTGATGACGAACGGCCAGTTTTTGGTGTTTACTTTTGTTGTTGGTGATGGTTACGGCGTATATACCTAGGCAATGATGCTTTATAGAAAACCCGGCTCCGCCTAAAACGATTTAACATGAGCATAAAGTTATGGTCTAGGCCAAGGCCGTATATAGGGTCTAGGCCATATTTTACATGCAGTGACAGTGTTTTGTATGGGAACACAAACTAATTTATTCAGCTACCATTGACATGCTGCAAAGTGCTTTGCAATGCACATTGCGCGCGCGGACGGCGATTTGATTGCAAAAGGGAGGAATCAATCTTCACCTACGTCCTTCCAGCGCCTGTTGTCTAACGCTGTTGTCTAATGTCTCTTATAAGCGCACTAAGGTTACTGACTAACGACTTTAATCATGAAACTATCTAATGTCCAATGTCCATTTAATCAACATTCAATTGGCCATGTCTACGTATGTCCATTGTCCACTGACCACTACCACACAATGTGCGAAAGATGCTTTGTGCTTATTTGATGTTCAATACTGTATCAGACTATCTACGCGCTACCACCCATCGTCCAGTATCTGTCGATGCAGACAGAGTAATGAAGACACTGCTCTATGAAGTTATCTCTACCGATTTGAGAATGCTCGGTCCAGTATCTAAGTCTACCTACAAATGGCACCGATTTTCCAGCGTCTGCCGACTAACGAACTGAAAAGCAAATACGGAGTGTAACGATCTTCGGATTATGGGTGTATCCGCTGTCGTTAATCCAAAACTTCAGCTATGCACATTGCACGCTCCTCTAGGTACGTTATAGTCGATTCTAGAAACGTGGTAGGCGCTTGACATTTTAACGAATTAATTGGAGCAAATTAGAATCTGCACGGTACCAGCACGATGCGCAGATTGTGTGTGTCAACGGTGTCCAGAGCCATAGGTACTGCTTTATATATTTAAGAAAAAATGTTTATGATCTATGCAAGGGCGGATCTAGGGGGTCGTTTTGGGGGGGGTCACCAGTCGGCCGACATACCAGGTCTGGTGAATGAATTCTGACGACCGGGGGGGGGGGGGGGGGTAGGGAGCGAGTATGTCGAGATCAAAAAATGACATTTGATCTTCGTCGTTTATAAGATGAAGTTTTATCGTAAGTCACTCGGCTCAGTAGTTTTAGTTAGTGAAACCCACCTATATAGGAGCGTCGCCACGGATTTTTTACTGGGGGGGGGGGGGAGGCGGGTCGACCGACTTAAAAACCCAGAAGTAGATATAGTTACCTCACTTTTAGCCTAATGCATTAGTAAATAGTAGCATACAGTCACGATCTCTCTTATTGACCTGTGTATGAATCGGCGGCGCGAAGCGCCGCAAAAATTTGCAAAAAAAAGTTGTCAAAACACAGCTCTAAAACACAAATATTACAACCTTTTTAGCATGCTAGTACAAGCCGGAGTTCCTTCACAGTACACATATGAATTCCGATTCAATTTGACACGGTTGGTGTTATTACAGTCACTGTTATTTCTCTCTTATTGATTGGTGTATAAATCGGCGGCGCGAAGCGCCGAGAAAATTTGCAAAAGAATGTGTCGAAACACAGCTCCAAAACACAAATTTTACCACCCTTTTAGCCTTGCAGTACAAGCCGGAGTTCCTTTACAGCACACATATGAATTCTGATTCAATTTGACACGGTTGGTTTATGTAATTACAGTCAAGATTTCGTATTGACCTGTACGTATGTACATAAATCGGCGGCGCGAAGCGCCGCGAAAAATTTGCAAAAACATTTGTCAAAACACAGAGGGGGCCTCCTCTCTACAGAGGACCACCGATCTCTACTGCGGGCCTCCTCTTTTCACAGGGCCTCTTAACTACAGAAGCTACAGGGCCTCCTCTCTACAGAGGGCTTCCTCTCTACTGAGGGTCTCTCCCTTTAAGAGGGCCTCCTTTACAGAGGGCCTCCTCTCTTCAAAGAGCCAGAGGACCTCATCTCTGCAAAGGGCCTCCTCTCTTCAGAGGGCCTCTTCTCTACAGAGGGCCTCCTTTCTTCAGAGGGCCTCTTCTCTACAGCGGGTCTCCACTCTTCAGAGGGCCTTCTGCATTCAGGCGGTCTCCTTTCCACAGAGGGCCTCCTCTCTACACAGGGCCTCCTCTCTACATAGAGCCTTCTCTCTACAGCAGGTCTCCTCTCTACAGAGGGCCTCCTCTTTAAAGGGGTCTCCTCTCTACAGGGGGCCTCCTCTCTACTGAGGGCCTCCTTTCTACAGAGGACCTCCTCTACAGAGGGCCTCCTACCTACTGAGGAGTCAGAGGGGCCCTAGCGGTCAGACACAGACACTAGCGGTTATTCACTGGAGGCCCCAGGAAGTAAGAAGGGCCCTAGCTGTCAGGCTGGTCAGAGGGCCCTGAATGTCCTGACGTGATTTTTGGGATTCCCGTGAATTTCTTTCGCCTCAGACGTGATTTTGACCTGCCAGGGCCCAGGGGCACTAAAAATAAAACAAACAAAATAAAAAATGAAAATAGGACATCACCAAAATTAAGTGACCGAAATCCGTTGAGTTTTTAATTTTGCGTATAGGTAGGGGCACCACGAATTAAATTCATGACCATCCCCTTGGAGTTTTCCTGGATCATCCCCTGGTGCTCGCACGGTTGAGACAAAAACGAGTAAGATTCTGGTCTTCAATACGCCTTTTCACGCAACACGATCCAGAAAAACAAAGGTATTAGCTCAGAAGTGTTTGACAGGTGATTTTGAGCATGCAAGACGGCGTCTATAGCGCATTTAGGTCTTCGGCTTTTGGGGGGGGTCAAATGACCCTCTCAGACCTTTTGGGGGGGGTCATGACCCCGTGGACCCCCCCCAGGATCCGCCAGTGGATCTATGAACGGTCTCTATAACTTGTTATGACCAGTAAAACGCCTTTTGGGCGAAGAACGAGCGAGCGAGATAGTGAGCCCTGCACGTGCGGAAGGGCGAGAGGGTGCTCCCAACAGGCTTGCGCAAAGCACCCTTCTAACCGGTCGCTAGCGGTGTGCCAAATTTGAACGCAATCGGCCCAGCCGTTCCTGAGATCTGGAAGCGGCATTCTGCACGTGCGCACGTGCAAACGGGGTCCAAAATGACTTTTGCACGGCACCCTACTAACTGGTCCCCAACCGTGTACCAAATTTGAGCGCAATCGGCCGAGCCGTTCTCGAGATCTGGAAACGCCCCCTGCACGTGCGCACGTGCAGTAGCACCCTAACCGCAACACATGGGAATGCATTGCCTGGTGGATGCCTACCTGTATGCCAAGTTTCAGCGAAATCGCCCCAGTAATTACCGAGTTACTGAAATGGGAACAAATTTGGCACCTCTTATTGCTGTATTTTGCACGTGCACTGGGGGTGACCCACATGCATCGAGAGTATCCTATTTTGGGTAGAAGGGATGCTGCTACCCTACAAAAATTACCGCAAGTCAATCGCCCAAGCGGCTGCTGAGATATGAGCCTCTCAAAATCACCACTTTTGCAAAACAGCTTGAACACCCTTGACTTTTCACGTGGCACGTGCCACGACGGTCACTGAGATGTATCAAAAGTAGTCAATTACGGGGTAGAAGGGATGGGGCTACCCAACAAAAAAGACCGCAGGCCAATCGGTCCAGCGGTTGCTGAGATATAAGCCTCTCAAAAGCGTTACAGGCCGGGCCGGGCCGGGCCGCTCATACTGAGATTTTTCCGTTATTTTGAAAAGACTCACTTCGCTCGCTGCGCTCCCTCGCTCGTAATCAGGGTTTCGAAGTTAAAGAAACAAAGGGCGAAGCAAACGCACCCCATGATTGTTTTGAAATGTTGGTTTTGCCATGCACGTGACAGCCCATGGCGAGTGTCAGGAGTGCTGACACAATCGAACACCGATGATGTTCCGTTTAATTGGCGTGGGAGCGACGCTTCAGAACCACAGAGATGCCGCTCCCATTGGGCAGGTCGCAGCTGGGCATATGGACATATAGCAGCGCTAAAATATTGATAAAGAAAAGGAAAACTTTCTGATTAATGTAAGTAAATACCTACATGTGATTTGAGCTTACCAAGAAAGCGTCCAGGTGAGAAACCTCTTGTCTGGCTTGTGCAGGACAGAGGTGGGAGAATCTGTTGATGCTTTAGCACGGCTCACCAGCACGTCTCGACACCGGTCAGTATCAGCGGCGGGTCGCTGCCTCCAGCTCACTGTGGCTGCAGTGTCAGTGACACCGTCCGATCCTGCAGCTGGCCTCGCTAGGAGTGACACTGACACACAGGCTGAACTCCGTGATATACTGGTGCAGGCCTATCCTCCACCAGTTATGCACACTCCAGTTATACCAATGACAGTACAGAGATGATCACTGAGCCGCCACTGTCACACTCCGTAACCGATAACCTGACCCGACACTGACCCAGCGTTCACCGCCCGGCCGCGACGCGCAGACTGAGGTCCGCGGCGCCCTCGCCGCCCACCGCCCCCGCCCCGCCCCCGCCCGAGTGACGTCAGAAAGACTGAGGAACGTGCGCCTCGCACGCTGGACGGGGGGTCGGGAGGGGGGGAGTTAACGCACACCCCTCTGTAGTATAGGACGGCGTCACGGCTCCGAAAAACAGACCGGGACTGAGTTACGGTGGATCTGTCAGCTGCTATTTTGTCATGGAGCGCCTTGGTGGACGCAGCAGCCTGCAGCGGTCACCACACGTGGCCATTGGTCATGGAGTTGGCTCGAACAGCGGGGCGCTGTATGAGGAATAGGCGGGTGATCAATGCCCGCGATTGTTGCGCAGCATGTGCATGCAACAGCTGGTCTGAATAATGCAGCGCCTTTGCGGATCAATACCAGAACGTGCATATGTTCAGTAGATCGTGGGTGTTCGTAGCTCGAACAGTGTGTTTGTGTTTCATCGGTGTATCGTTAACATGCATTAGGTAGATGTTGGCTAATGTGCTTACGTAATAGATATAGTTGAAGCCACACACCAAAACCCATCAAAATTCGACAACTAGCGTATTTGCTTAGAGAAGCGGTGTTTGAGTCTCTCCACTTACCTACTAAGATAAACATTGAAATAAATTACATTTTATATAAAATTCCTAATAATTGACAAACTCCGCATGTGATAGGTAGTAGGTACTTATGTGTTCAGCCATCAGTTCACATGGGCATCTAGAGAAACGGCCGGATGTTGGAAAGCCCCGCCACTGCAATGCAGCTGCACCTGGTTTACAGCGCTCAACTCCAGCCAGTGTCAGACGCTATCTAACGAATCAGTCACACTATCAAACGCTCGAACTTAATTGAAACTACTATCTGCACTCTGAGCGGGCTGACTCCCGGAGCTCACTCCACCCGTGCGCTCTGCCGACACATTCCTTCCGATTTCCTCTCTCTCTCTCTGCCCGGCTGAGGCGGATGTTCCGGCGTGTCTCGGCAGACTCGGCGGCCGCTGTCTGTTGTTGCAGAGACCATCCGGCGGGGGGGGGGGGAGGGCTGTGGTTGTGGTCTTCGGTCGGCGGTTGATACTGGGGACTGTCTGCAGGTCCGCGGCACAGCACAGCCCGGGGGCACAGCACAGCCGGCGGCACAGACGGCACGGCCCGACGGTCGGCGCTATCACAAGCCGGCCGGTCGCCGGACGCCCGCACGGGGACGGACCCGGCGGCCGGCCTCTGCCTCGATTAGGCCGCTGCCGGCTGCCACTGAGCGCTGGAGTGTCGTGCCGACGGCAGCGGCTGTGTGCCTCCAGCGGGATATTGGCCAGGCGAGGAATACGGGTGACGCAACGGGCAGCCTGCAGGCGCGGTGTCGTCAGGAGCGAGCCTATGTGACGGGCTCCGCCCGCGCCGCGCCGTGGACGGGCTGATACTGACCAATGAGACGTGAACGAGCTGGTCCATGAAGGCGGCCGTCAATAGTTTATAAGAGTGCGGAGGAAAGCAAGTGCAATTCAGGAAATAGCTTCAAGGGTGCCTAGGCTGATAAAAATATTTATAGCAGAATGCATGAACAGGGATAATGAATAACACCGAACACGACCAAAGAATATCGAAATTTGTTAAAATCTCAAAACACAACTGACCACGACATTCATAGACAAATTCACTGAAAATTTACACCTTCCTCGGGTGTAAACACCTCAGGAGGGTGTAGCTGAAATTCTGCGTTTTTTACCCTCGTCTGAAGTGTAATATTTACACTCAAATATGGTGTAACAAGACACTCGCCCGGGGCGTTGATTTTGCAGGTTTACACTCTCCAGGCGGATGAAAAAGGCGGGTACACTCGTGATTGACCTTTTACTGAAGTGTTACACCTAGAGCAGAGCACGCCTTCCGAGTGTATATATCGATCCGATTTCGGGTGTTGTTGATTCCAGATCCCCTTCCCCTTTCCTCCCCCCTTTCCCCTGCACCGGTCGCGCTCACGCTCTTTACGAAGAATAAACACCAGTATGTCAGAATATTTTAACGTTTATTGGACGTTGATCCGTGCAACAAGTACATGAAACGGCGAGTCCTCTGCAGATATGAACCGGGGCTAGGCGTTCGAGTCCAGCGCCTGCGAGCGCGCTCGAAAAAGATAGCGATGTTCGTGATGTACAGCTCGTCCTGCATGTTCGCCATTGTTTGGAATTTGGCGATCTTCTCCCTTTCGACCCAAAGTGCGCCATCTGCGATGATGATGTTCGTTGTCGCAGGGCCAAAAACGACCTGCTCCTCACGCATCTCGAGTAGAAGGTGTTCGAGTTCCTTCTCTGAAACACACATGGGAAGCGAAATTACTCATACTTGTCGCTGCCAGAAAGTTTAACCCGCGCCCGGGTGGGCCTCTCAGCCTACTTCGCCATGGGGGGAGGGGGGCACACCAGGTTATCTAAGAAAGTATAGCTAAGACGCAGACAAAAGCAACAGATAGCTCGTTATAGATCGTTCAGAATCATTCAGGTCATTTTTTGATCAGGTCATTGCTGAGGTCACTGGAGGTCTCCAAACGTAAAAATTTCACGAAGTTCTAGTATTAAACAAGGATGAAGCAAAAACCAATAATCCTAGTGCCATGAATATCATCAACAGAAGCAGAGCAGAGCCAGCACCACGGCGCGCCTCATTTTTCCCATCCCTGCATTACAAATTAGCTTTGGAAATCACGCACGTCCTAATTTTTCGAGAAAAAGTATAATCTCGAAAATGCTGTCATCTACTTACCCGTTCCGGAGCAGGTGGGTCTTCCTCAATGCTCAATAGTCACACCAGCTCAGCACACTAACAACCACGTTCGTTGAAGCACAATGGCGCACTGGAAGCCGCGTGGGTGCGAGCGCCGAGCGGCGTCACGCGCATGCGCCTTTGCCGTCCGGTACATTACACTTCAGAGCAGTGTTAAGCCAAGACAAAAATGCGGCAATCGCAGATCAAGGATCCTTTGTCAATAACACAGCACACATGAAGCGCGATCATCTACACTACAGGAAGGTGTTATTCGTAAATGAACAAAAGCTAGGTGTTAAAGTTCAGAATTGCACTTCCATAAGGTGTTGTATGAGTGTGATTTGCACACCAACGAGGTGTAATTTCGCTTTGATCAGTTTCTAAGCGTAATTGCCGTGTTATAGACCTGCGTATAGTGCTCAGTCTGCTATTTACACCTTTAGGTGGTGTTAATACGGCGATGTGAGTGTAAAAATGCTTTCAGTGTTGTAGTTTTCACGAACACCGCATTCAGGTGTTAACTGATCTAATATGAATGCTCTGTGTGATAGCCTTTCATCTCATACCTATCAAAACAATTTTGGAAACTCTGCTCTAGCATCAGACGCCGTTCATTCATAGCCGATAGGCCTTTCAATTATAGGCTGTCAAGTCGTTAAGCTAAGGGCATCGATTTTTTTTTTTCAAATAAATAAGCTACTGACAGAACAAAATAAGTCCAATACAAACATGCAATTTAGTCAGAGAAAGATCACCAATCGCATGGTCAGCCTGGTTGATTGCAACTGTCGCAGTAGATTCATCGGACAACGCCATATTGCGTGCTAAAAAGGCACACTGACGAATGTGGCAGCGTCCTGTCAATAGTCAATACCGCATCCATCGAACAATAGTGCCGGTCTGGAAATACGATCCTTGTGCTCCAGCCTTCATTGTATCACTAGGTCAATTTCCTGTGTCCACACCGCGTCGTCAAGTCGTATAGGCCTTGCAGCGGACAGCTCTGTGGACGCTGCACACTGTGGAGTGAGGAGTGGAGGTGTGTGGGATTGTCTCGATAATTTTAACATTTTTCGTCGCATTGCCACTAACTATTTACGTACATTGTACGCACGTATACCTATATAAACAGACGGGCCAAAGACAGTTATTTTTAATGAGCTGGCAACTGAGTTACAGAAGTGGTAGGTGACACCTTTATTTGACTGTACTGCATGGATTATAAGAAATATGCGTTGCATCGGTACAAAAAGGATATGGCGTTACCTAAATATTCGGATTCACTTTGGAAACTTATGAATGCTTCAAGAAGATTTGTTCTTGCAGGCATATGATTGACAGCCAAGAAAGGAATAGGTACATTGGCTGCACATTGCGGCAATTAGGTATGATTTATGAACACACTTACTTGGCCACAACTTACAGCCTTCTCTATGTAGCGTAGTCTATATTAACATTTTATTGTGACTTGATTCAGCTGAAACAAGCCAGGCTGAAATGAATGAAGATTGTGACAGTAAAATAAAAAGGATCCTCAGAGTACGTAAAAAATGTATACTGCGAATGGCTACTTATCATTATAGAGGTAAGCTTTCACACAAAACAGACATTTTAAATCCTCTCAATTAATTCGCAAGGCCACAAAGTCCTCCAATGAGCTTAAGTTGTTCGGGCGCAGCGTTTATTGGTGGGGGCAAAATGTCAAACTGGTGAGGCAATCGCCCCACCAACTACATACAGGAAGCTCTGCCCCTGTAGCAAACTACACCATAAATGAAGCCGTGGCGAAAGCACAGTGCTCGAAATCCAACCAATTCATTTTAAAATCCACTGGGATTCGAGTCACCAGACATCAACTCGCTGTGGCCAGCAGCGATATCTTTTTCCATATACAAACGTTGTGTCGCAACGTCGCACTGAGTGGTTGGCGGTGTATAAAAGAATGAGTGACTGACCGGCTGGCACCCGGCGACTGCAGCAGCTGGCTGTGTGCGTTATTGGATGCTGCACTGGATGGATCATTGCCTGCTGCGTACCAGTCGTACGTACGAGTCGAGTCGCGCCCTGCTGGGGGGGGTGTTTGAACACCCCCCCTTGTGGTTTTTCGCGAATATCTCAAAAACGGCGGCGCGGAGCGCCGCCGTTTTTGGTACACCTTATCATACATCAATTCTACACATGTTGTGAAAATTTCAGACCAAGGTCATTCAAGGTCAGGTCACCAGGTCACTTGAAGTGACCTCACCTCATAAAAACTTTCAATGTCTGTCATAGCTACACCGAGTGACCGATCGCTTTGAAACTTTCAGCGATTGCTAAGAGCAATAGCATGTACAAAATGTATATCTCAGAATTTTGATATCGATGACCTAAGGTCAGGTCAATTTTGCGACCTCCCCATTATAAGTCAATGGGAGAAAATTGAAATGCGCCTCTTTTGGATGAAAGACATTATAAACATCCCAAACACCGAATTACAAGTGGTATAGACACACTGAACTTGAAAATGATGTCCGTGACCCTTTTTTATGCCCTGAGGTCATCTTAGGTCACGAATGGTATCTAACAGTTTTTTCGCAAATAACTTTTGATAGAGGCATACTAGAGCGATGAAAACGCCTTAGATGTGTTCATCTCGACGATACGGATCGACTGATATGCAACATGACCCTTTCCGGTCAGGTCATGACCTTGACCTGAGGTCAAATTTTCAAGTTGACCTTTCAAGGTCAAGTCATAGTTTATTCGATGCGTCTTGACGAGAGGAACACGATGCCGGTAAAAGTAAGCTCGTACAAGGCTTGGGTCAGAAGTTATTGCAGAAAAACTGTTTTCGAAAAAATCGGCTATTTTTGCAGTTTTTGCCCCCTGCAGGCAAAACCGTTGACGTTAGGTCAAATCTGAGAGGATTACTCAGAAAGGGCGTTAATAGGGCTATCGAATGCGCTTTTCCGCGGCGCTGTAGCTCTATTGGTTCCCGAGTTATGCGTTGGCTTCTTGGAAATTTTCGACATTGGACCTGGAAATCGGCGAAATTTTGCCTTCAATGACCTCTGGTGACCTGACCTTTGACCTGACCAAAAAATTGACCGAAGTGATTTCGTCATTATTTTTGACGCTCTTTCGAACGCCGCCTTCCGCGTATCGCTACGTGGCCCAGGAGCCGAGTTACAAGGGGGGGTGTTCAAACACCCCCCCCCCCCCAGCAGGGCGTGGAAATCCAGGACCCCCAGCAGGGCGCGGGTTAACGCAATGCTCACTGCGTCCGGTGCCCGTATGGCGTATACTGCAGACTTCCGGCAAGGCGGAGGTACAGCTGGACTGTTAGCCGAGTGCCATACCACAGCCGCATATGAAGTGCGTGCATACTACAAAGGACATTAAATTGATTATAGGAATGCTGAGGGATGATAGGGGAATGGAAATTGTTTGTGCTTGTTCGTACTCGCTCGTCACCCGGAGGACTACCTATATAAAGTTATTGTTCAGGTGTACAGAGGTCAAGGGTCTGCCGGCCGGCCGGGCGCGCGGCTCGCCAACCTATGTACAGTTGACGGGTCGCGGGCCCGGCCGGCGGCCTGGGGCATCGCCCCAGCGAGGACGAGTATGTATTCCGCGGGGCGATGCGGGGCGGACAGGATGACATGGAAGTTTGTGGTATAGTGTAGGGATGTTGTGAACATGTACTGTGTCTTGTGAATTTGATTGAAAATAAACATGGAAAAAGGTGTACAGAGGTCTATGTGTTCATATATGCAAAAGATCCATTCCTGATTGACAGGCAAGAGATTAAAATGGGTTAAGTACGGTGGTCACTGGTCACAGATGCAGCGCAATTCGTCGTATTCTGGTCAGGCCACGTCGGCCACCTCGTACGCGGCTACGCCGGCGCGGCTCGCACCGGCGCGGCGGAGTTGCGTCGAAGACTGTCGGGCTCAGGGTTTATAGAACGTGGCCCCGTCCCGTCCAAGTCCTCGTGGTACTAACACGTAGTCATGAGAACCAGGACAGGGACTAGATGATACATATGCGTCGGCGCGGCGCGCCCAGCGCCAACCGTCTTTCCTCGCTAACAGAAATGATCATGGAAATGTATTCAGAAAATGCATATGTGACTGGCACTTGTAGAACCATCACCCAGGCTAAAGGGGTGCCTGCCCTCTGTTTAGGGCATTTTTGCGCCCCGCAGTGTCCGAAATTGAAGATATTTTATCGTTTTTACACATATAGAAGAAACTAAGTAACTGACCCCATCGGCCAGCCGCTCAAGACCAGCTAAAGTTTACCAGCACTAGGGGAAAGTAGGGTAAGACGGGCACCTTAACTTTGGAGCCATTTTTCGGCCGGTTAGAAACATCATAGAAACGGGAAACTGAGTGAAAACCTTTTTTAGACATTTTACTTCCAAATTCCATTTGCCAGAAGATGAGACTTAGACCTGATTCAACAACTAAACTGCAGCTATTTTTGCAAAACCTGGCAAAAACCCGTCTTACCCCACCCCATGGGGTACGACGGTCACATGGGTAGGGCAAGATGGCCAGCTTCTTTCACCGACCAGCACAGCTCGCAACAAATGCCCGAGATTAGCCGCATTGATACAGTCGCTCGTTGGTCTCAAGTGCTTCGGAAATGGCAGTAGGTATACGAGATTCGTGCAGAAGGCGTATTATGCTCGTATATAGGCCCTAGTTCAGAAGCCATTAACATACAGTGCAAACCACAAGTAGCACCAGCGGGCACCGCTTACATTCTTCTCAATAGATGGCGGAGGTGAAAACGCCTGCAAGTATGCTGTTCCGCAATACAAGGGAATAAGCATTTTGATTGGCTAAGGCAAATGACGTAATAAGAACAAGCAGATATAATGAAGATGATTTTTATAAGAATCTTGGGATAGGCATTAATAGCGCAAATGGTGCGCCAAATTGGATATGTGGCGCGATGGCGGCGTATTTTGAATTCACCATAGGGCTCAGCCACTCCTAGCGGAAAATTCTGTGGAATTCTCCCCCTGGCGACAAATGTGGGGAAATGAGCATAAATGTGTAAGTCCCTAGAAACTAATTCGTCCCAAGAAGTCCCCCACTACATTAGTGATGCAAGTTTGACTGGGGTATATTAGAGATGCAAATTACATGAAAAGATGTTATATTTTATGTTAAGATTGAGAAACCGTGCTTATAGTGGAAGGTATGTTAATGATGCAAACATATTAGCGAACTGGGAGTGGTCACTGGTCACCTGCTAATTTTGCGTCATTCCGCTAACGCTAGTTGAGCCAGTTATTGCTTGAAGCGTCATAACTTCGGTATAACTATACATCATTATTTGTTGGCTATTAACTGAGATCTGATTTCTTTATCTTTTAAAGAAGACTTAATATAAGAGAGATGGTAGCATCGTCTTGGTGTCATATCTGATCAAAGCGGCCATCCTCCAATGTCCCAACTTACCCCGCGGCGGGGGGTCAGTTGGGCCAGGGCCTAAGGCAAGTTGGTACACTAGGAAAAACAGTTTATCTAAACACATTTTTATTCATGTTTCACATGAACAATCATCGCTAATCCATGCGGGCATTAACGACAAAACACAAACGTTTGCAGTACTCCTGCGGCAAACAAAAAGGCACACACAACGACACTAGAAGAGAATATTTTCACAGCAAGAAAATCACTTTTGGTACCTGAAACACATTTGTAGCGATTATGAACAGCACTTACCTCAGCACGCGCCGACACCACGTTGACAAACAGACTGTGCATGTACTGTGCATGTACAAAATAAGTTTGAACGCCAACTGTCGAGAAGTATTGGAAATATTCCTTCCGTCCCAACTTACCCCCCCCCCCCCTGGCACCAACTTGCCCCGGTCACCCCCACTTCACCTCTACCACTCAGCGCCCCAGGGGGCGGTTCTGGTCAACACAGGTGGCCAGGCTGTGGGGCGCCGCCGACCGCCTGGCGGAGGCTGCCACGTAGCCGTGCTCCCCGGTGCGCGCGGAGCGGCACGGCCGTCCAGCGGGCCAGCGAGCGCGACCCCGCACGTTGGTGCTGGTGCGACGGGCAGTGCTGGTCGGCTGGACCGGAATCTGGGTGGCGTTCCGCCGGCAGCCCTGCGCACCTCCAAACTGGTGCAGAGCGGACTGGCGGCCAGCAGTGGGCAGCTGGCCCCACCTCTGCTGGAAGGCAGCGGCAGCCCTCTCCCAGGTGTCGTCCTGGACGACTGCCTCGCACATGAAGGCTGCCCACTCCTGGATGAACGCCACGGTTTGGCGTGTCCGGTCATCTGAGCGTCGCTGCTCAGCTCCACTGACAGCCGCCGCCGCAGCGGCGGGGTCCTCGAAGTCCATTGCGTCGTCGTCGTACTCCTCGGGACCAGGCGACGGCTGGGGCTGCGCGACTCCGGGGGCGCTGGCGGGCGTGGGGCCAGGAGGTGACGAGGTGGACGGCTCGGCGACCAGAGGGTCAAACCAGTTGCCTGGCAGCTGCTGGCTGGTCCCCATGGCGATGTCCATCAAGGCCCTCCGCGTCTCCTTTGTCGCCGTCGCCTCCGGCACAGCGCCAGTCTGCTGCCGCACGGCTCGGAGGTGTTTGCAGCCGCCAGTCCGCCGGTTCATCCTGCAGGTGCAGGCGCCGACGTTCAGGTCCACCAGGTAGGTGATGCCGACCGACGTCAGCGACTTCACCTGATAGGTGAACTCCGTCACCTGTGGGAGGGGCAACACATAAAATCCTGTAAAATTCTTATGTACAGTCTGTCTTAAAAGTACCGCGCAAAGTGACGGTGGATCCATCAAGCCTTACTGAAGAAAGGCCTGCTTTACTTTGAAAGTCACCGAACCAATTGACCTGGGGAATGGACGAGAATATCAATTGCTTTGATGACTCAAATTGAGCAGGCCCTTCCTCGGTCAGGCTTGATGGATCCACCGTTGCTTTTTCGCGGACTTTTAAGACAGACTGTACAACATAAACTGACGGACGGTTACTTGTACGAAAATCCGAACCTGTTCATTCGCCCCAGTACTGTCAGCTTGGCCTTTTAAAACAGACCCCCAAAGGGAAAAAAGAAGAAACAAGAAAAAAACGCGAAACGAGTCACGAGATGTGGCACACAGCGCCAACACCACGCGGCCCTACAGTGGCACAGCGGTACAGTGACAGACTCTTGTGTGTGAATGCACAGCCATGTGGTTTATTGGTGCTTAGGGGCGCGCCGATTGCATTGGTCACTTTGCACAGCCATGTGGCAGTACGGGTGGGACCAGCATTGGAAAACGAGCTGTCTTATGTGACCTCAATCAGTTCTCGTGTCATGCAAAATACCTGCGTCACAGTGCCCGTTTCTTGGCTGGTGCCGCCGCGGACCGGCGCAGTGCCGCCCGCTGCCGGCCGTTGGCCACGTCGCACGCCCTCCTGGCGTAGTGCTTGCTGAGCTGGACCGTGACGAAATCAAACAGCTGCAGCAGGTTGAACGCCCGAGTCCTGGAAAAACAGCGCGTGTCAAGCGAATATTTCAACAATTTCTTTGCAGCTATAATTAACGGTAGACTGCCAGCGTATGGACACAATAAGGCTTTCAGAAGAGCAACCAAAAGCACAACTAACAATTTCACAACCTACCCGAAATGCGAAAGTTTGTTTTTCTTCCACATGTAGGGTTAACAGAAATGTAAAACCGTGATATTCACAAGTTAATCCGTGTTAATCCATGAAAGTCACAAGTTAGTAATTAACGTCTTTGACGAAGGGATGTATGGTCCAATTCCGTTTCGGGGGCTTCAGGCTCTGAACTTTGGCAGACACTGGGGAGAATTGCACAGTCCTAGGGATTTTGATGGTGTTTTCGAGAACATTTTACCGGCTCACTCTCAGCCCTCCGACCTATATTGAAAGGAAAAACTACTCCCCTGCTTTGGCTTTTTTCCAATTATTTGTCTTTATTAATTGGAATTTGTCTGTAACTGCAACTTTGACATTTCTTCAACATTTGCCACTTTTGGGCAACCTTACAACTTGAAATATTTTAAAATAGTAATGAATCTATTGCAATACCTCCGGTCACCGAAACAGTTTTACAATCAACTTTAGTTAAAAGACAGGTTTGTCTATGAACGCCAGGTTAACTGTTTTATTTATTGAACCGCAATTAGGTGAAACATATGAATAAAGACTGACCTGTAGAGGACAGAGTCTTTGAGGACTCTGAAGGCGGACTCCACGATGTTGTTCGTGTTGTGTCCCCGGGTGGGGACATCCGTGCGGAGGCACAGCGCCCACTCTTGACGGCGGGCAGCGAAACCCTGCAGGTACTGGTCCAGCAGTGGGTAGCGCTCGCCCCACTCGGTAGCCACCAGCTCCATCGTCGTCGCTATCTCCGCCTCATTGTTGGCGTACACGAGCTGTTTGGCTAGTGCCATGATAGCCTGCCTGTGCTGGAAGAAAATGCACAATTTAACTGGTATCCGAGTGTGGGAGGCGGGAGGGGTGAAGGGTGAAGGGTGAAGGTAAATGTAAATATACGGGGTGTTTGAGATGAAATTAATCAAACTCATTTACGTTCTTTTACAGCCTTTAGACCAGTATCACTGCATGTATATTCCTGACTGCCAGCCTATGTCTGTCTATGCCTGACTGCCTGCCTCTGCCTGCCTCTGCCCAGCTGTCTGCCTGCCTCTCTCTCTCTCTCTCTCTCTCTCTCTCTCTCTCTCTCTCTCTCTCTCTCTCTCTCTCTCTCTCTCTCTCTCTCTCTCTCTCTCCTCTCTCTCTCTCTCTCTCTCTCTCTCTCTCTCTCTCTCTCTCTCTCTCTCTCTCTCTCTCTCTCTCTCTCTCTCTCTCTCTCTCTCTCTCTCTCTCTCTCTCCCTCCTCTCTATGTCTCTGTCTCTTTCTGTGCCTCCCTCTCTCCCTCTCTCTCTCTCTCTCTCTCTCCCCTCTCTCTCTCGCTCTCTCTCTGTGTTTCTCAAAAAGGGGTAATTAGACAAAAATGAACGGAAATTCATTCCCAGTAGAAACTACTCACTTGCTTGTCGATGCCATGTTTGCCGTTGTGAAGCCATCGCCAGACGGCCTGCAGCACGTGAAACGTGCACAGCAGGAGCCGCGCCTCAGGCCACACCGCCGACAGCGCGTTCCGCTCGGCCTGACAGTCGTCCGTCATGAAGCACAGAGGGCCGCGCCTTCCACGCCCGCCAAAGGCGCCTGTCAAAGAAGCATTCTCGGTCAAACACGATATTGGATTTTATACACCAATGCACAACTGACTGGACAATTCAGAGTTTAGCCGCCAGATATGGGAATTCATGGCAAATGTAGGTATATCGTACCGTCTGGTAAAATCCCGACGAGCAGCCGGAAGGCTTTGTCCACCACGGCCTCGGTCTCCGAGGTGGAGACGATGACACCGAGAGGCAGACCACCGGCCGGGCTCCAGCACATCAGCAGGAAGACGCGCTGGCCGTGCCGGTTCATCCCTCCTGAGGCGTCGACGAAGACCACCTCTCCCGCGTCGGGGAGCGTGTGGACGCGCTCCATCAGCGGCGTCACCGCCGCGATCACCGTCTCGCCGTCCTCGACTGAGACCGCCGTGCGGACGTCCTTCATGTGGCGGATGAGGTCCATGGTCTCCTCCTGGGTCGAGGCTGGGTAACGCTCCCGACAGTGCTTGTAGTACAGGCTGAAAACACATTGCATTGTCAATTGACTTCCAGCTGCAAGTGGTGGTCAGTTTCATTTTGTGATAAAATACCGATTGCATAACAGTGTACTTATGGTTAAGCTTCAGCTGTCCCACTTGTTCCTGATTCGTCCCAATCAAAATATAGCTTACCCCTCAGCGCATTGAATTACACAAATCCAAGGTGAAAATAATGTTAACCTGCGCTGGGCCGGAAGGGGGGCGTTTAGACGCCATTCCCCTTCAGGTTTTTCACGAATAGCAGGAAAACGGAAATGACCCTGACACATAGGCGTACGTAATATGATTATCGATAGCTTTTACTAAACCAGAGTGCATTTATCGCAGCGTAAAATGTTGCGAGTTTTTAGCACAACACAATTCATAGATAACAGTAGAACTGGATGTGACACGAAAACAGGCAGATTGCAATAGGGGACCCAAAAATTGTCAATGGCCAGATCAGTCTCGGATCGCAACCACATATCCCAGACATGCGGCCTTCTTTTCTGAGTAGCCCTATCATCTCTGCTCCGTGTAACGATCAATTGCATCTCATATATGAGAATCATGTGTAACTTTATAGGGAAAGTCTAATTATTTCAGATACTGTCCCTACAGACTTGCTAACTTGTGGCAGTGTGGCTTTGCATCAAGCTGTTAAAAACTTACTAGTAGACGGCCATCCTATCTGGGACAATGGCTCGGTCTGCGGCCACCGACGGGTAGGCGCTCCCATGCTCCTCCTGAAGCTGTAGTTTCAGGGTCTCCAGCGCCGTGGAGGGCGAGTGGTGGTGCTGGAACAGCTCCATCAGCCGGGCCTTCGTCAGCTCAGAGACGCGTCGATGTCTCAGAGCGGCAGCGTTGTCCACGGCGTGGTTGTGGGGCTTCTTGTTACATGTCACCCGTAGCTCGTAAGCCGCGCATGGGTCTGTAGACCTATTCCTGGAAAGGGAGGATTCGTCAACAATATAAAAAACACGAGACGATGGTGTTATTCAGAAGAAATTCCGCTCCTTCCACGCACTTTTATAAGGTACCAGCAAGAAACCTTTTGAGGCAAGGAACGAGCGAGGTGAAATGTTTCGGATTATCACCGTTTTTAGTTTTCTGAGCCAAGATTGGCACAACTAAGAAAGATAGCGACTTGAAATCTTTTCGGCAGCGAACTCCTTCATCAAATATGTAGTTTTTTTCAATTGCGGTTGATCGTTTGATCAACTAAGGCGTTTGTAAAAAGCAGGGCTGCGGAGTCGGAGTCGGAGTCGGTCGGAGTCAACAGTTTTGGTCGGAGTCGGAGTCGATCTTTTTTCTTGGCCAGAGTCGATAAGATTTTACCGACTCCGGCCATGTAGTCCGAAAATCGCCTTTCATCAAGTGAAATTGTTGTCTGGTGAAAGCAAAATGGCAATTATCCCGATGATCCAAAGTGGTCAGACAACAAAATCGACCTACGATTTTGATCAGCCTTTTCTTTTCTCCCGAAGTTCACGTCTCTGCACTGGTTCGGTGAACCAAAGGGCCAAATAAATGCTTTCCAGAACTAATAGGTCGGAGTCGGAGTCAGAGTCGATTTTGTGAGGCCGGAGTCGGAGTCGGAGTTGGCTAAAGTTGGGTCGACTCCGCAGCCCTGGTAAAAGGTGCCAATGACAAAAGACGGTGAGAAACTTGCCGTTTTGGAGTGTTGGCGACAGTCACTTTCAGGCGCAGGGGGCACCCGGTGTCCTTGGCGGATTGGTTTTTCCTCGGACGACTCGGCTTTTCTGGGACGTCGTGGTGACAACGAAGCCTGGCCTGAAAAAAAAATTGACAACATTAACAAAAGTGATGAAATCAATTGCCACTCATTAGTCCGTCATTTAAATGAGGATGAAAGTTTCTCGATTTAAAAAACGTTACCTTTTTAACTGACCCTGATCATGGTGTTTCATTAACCCGCACCTTCCTGCGATATAAAAGAGTAAAAGTTACTGGGTGCAGTGGCGCACCCAGGGAGGAGTCAGGGGGACAAAGGGGTCAGCTGACCCTCCCGAAATCTAGCGGGCCCGCTGGTAGGTGCCCGTCCAGTCCTCCGAGACACCCGGTATGACGGCTGGATGACTGGTCCTCAGTACGCGGCATCAAGCTGGGGATTCATGCAGCGAGCCCAGGCCGCCGGGCCCTCTGTCAGTAGACCCCGACAGGCTTTCATACGGGCGGGTCTTTGCTGAACCCTCAGGAGGCTCTGCACCAGCAGAATTTTCCATTGGCGGGCCCAGGTCGAGTGCTCGGGCAAAAGTACCCCCCTGCCGAGCTTTACACGGCGAGCCCAAACTGGTATTTCATAAACTAAAGCTCTCACCCAGTACACCACCCTTTGGCCATTCGACATGGAGTCGTACGTCGTCAGGGTGATGTTGGCGGCCTCTTGGTACAGCTGAATCCACTGCAGGGCCGATTCCTTTGACGCCGGACATCGGTAGGCCACAGTGGTGCCCTCCATCAACTCCTGAAACGAAATAATGCAAGGTCTCACTGGGGTATTCTTGTCTGGGACCAATGCACGATCGTATTACCGTAATAGTCAGCTATAATGCAGATGACAAATACTTAGTGACAAGACGCGTTATATTCAAATACAGATCACCGCACACACCACTCATACCAATAATATTGTCATTCACAATTGATAAAACTTTGTTACCGAAGCCTGTGGGGAAAGTTGATAGTTCCATTTTAAAAATGGAAGTTTTCATTCATGAAATGATTGCAACATGGCTCAAACCAATTACATATAATATGTGTTACTGCAAATTGAAATTGCCATCATCGGCAATTGCTATTGCTTTAAGCAAATTGCTATATTTGATGCTCACCGGTTCCAGGTCAGGAATCATATCAAGCTTCTCGCACAAGATGTACTTGGCATCAGCCTTCCAGATTACTTGGAAGTGATCCTGTTGGAAGAAGGAATGTTCCATAAAGTTAGTGGCGGACTTGTACCTATTCAATATTTAATATCAATATAGTAACAATGGTTATACGACTCATAATCTTCACTTACAGCATTTCTTAAAAATTACCTATGTAAAGATTATAATTCTGCTGGTGATACCTATAGCCATGTGGGTAAATGTCAAGTTTAAGTCCTAAGCAGATTTCATGGATAATTTTTCATATTCTTACATTATTTGGCCGGTACACATGGAGGTCCCCGCTTCAAAATTAGTTAATTTTGAATTTAGTGTTTCCGACCATTATTTGACATCCTGAATCCAAAAATGATACTTATATGTCTCGTAACTAAAAGAAAAACATAATCAAACCTGAACTAACCTTACCTTTTCACCTATAACCTACCAATCTACTACCTACAAACCTACAATGCAACCTAAAACTTACAGCCTAACGTAACCTAAAACATAATTTTTTTGCTGTTACAGATTTGTATCAACAGCGTCACAGTTATAGTTAGGACCTAAACTTGACATATACCTGTATTTCTTGCGCCCTAACCCACAACAACAGCAACAACAACTGTATTTCTTGCAAAGAACATGCACCTAAAATGGAAATACTTATTAATCACCAACCTTTTCCAGCATCTTGAAGCATATATAGGCCTCCGCAATAAACGAGCAAACATGAGACACGAAAAAGGCGCTTTGGATTAAAAGGCGCGCCAGTGGCATCGGAAGAGCTGCCAGATCGGCTGAAATCCCTAGCGCGATTTCGCTTTTTTCCAAGGTGCCTAGAATTCCTCTAGGAATGGCTGAGCCCTATGGTGAATTCAAAATACGCGTGCGGCGCCCCTCGTGGCCGACCCGCCAGCGGCACCGTCACCCATTTATCTGCTGAGGGGGCCATGTGCAGCGGCGCCACCCCGCTCCCCGCTGGAGACGGAACTGAAGGGTGCACGGCGGAGGAACCACGGAAGGAGGTGAGTGAGATTTTCTTTTGGAGATTTGCTGTCGAATTCGTGTGCAAATGCGAAGGTTGCAAGTGTGTTACCGTTTGATATTTGTTTTCATACCAGGCCTGCAATGCTTGTTATAAGGTTACCTTTTCATTAATTAATGGCTCAGGCTCAGTCTGCTAACGTGGATGTTTTGAACTGGTTTATGGACATGAAACACGCATGCTCCAATGTTAATATTATGCGGACGGATACTTGGTAAAGTAAACGTTAGGAAGGGATGATTTTTTGCATTAGCTTTCTTTTTGCTTGAAGTTAACCCTCGGCCTCGCGGGCCCGGACGAGGGAATTTTTCGCCCCCCCCCCCCCCTCCTTGCGAATATTGGGGATAGCTCCCAAACGCTTAGGGATAGGAATGCGAAACTTTCAGTAATTTTTCGCTATCAATTTGACATCTTCAGTACCAAACAAACCTTTTTGACCTAGCACCCTTGATGATGTCACAGGGTCCATTTTTCTAGACCCCTGCACAGCAAACTTCGGCGCCAGAGACGTGAGCTTCAAACAGCTGCCAAAAATAGAATTTTAGAGATAAAGACAAATTACGAGCACGGCTGCGTAGCGTGTGACCTAAGGAATTAGGAAAAATGCAAAAATAGTTTTAGTGACTTGAGGTCAAAGATCAGGTCAACAACCCAAGCTGGGGTTTTAGTTTTTTTCGCAAATTTCTTGTAAAGGAATCGGAATCCGTAAGGGTTTTTAGAAGATTGAAGAAAAACAGCTTTGTGTCTTCGCTGAGATCTATAACGAAGGTAGCTGCTTATTTCATGTGGTTTTAAACGGCTTAACATTAATATAAAAATCTCATTTGACATCAATTTTTGTGAATTTATTACACGACTTGAATACAAAGTCTAGATTTCAACGTGACATTCCACCTAGCACTCCTGTTGCTGCTGTTGCTGTTGTGTTGACTTGTACAGTTGATACTGTGCCGTCGGACCGCCGAGCGCTGCGGGACAGTCTACTTACCCAGCACCTGTACTGGCGCTATGGCCGAGAGGAAACGGGAGCGGAACAGGAAGGAAGGGGGGAGGGGGCAAGTTAGCTGGACATATTGTTGTGCGGTAGCAGCTTTAAAGTGCCTTGAACCTGCTTCATCTTATAAACAGCTGGAGGTCGGTTAATCAAAGCAATGAGACGTCCTTATGCGAGGATGCAAATTTATTTAGATTTTACGCATCGACCGAAATAAGATAAAATGACTGTGATTTGTCGCATCTATTTGTGTCTTTGGTTACCTGCTACTTTTTCAAGTAACTTATGTTACATTGGGATAGCTATACGTAAATTACCAAAGTTCTGATCCCCACCTTCCGTCATAAAGCGTGACTGCTTTCGCACGGCCATGCCTAAAATATAAATTGTGGCTTTGTTCTGGCCCTTTGAAGACAAAATGAAGTTCTTAATTGTTTTAACAACGCAACTAAACCGGAATAAGTTTGGTTGGTTCTGTGCTCCTTGTAAGCTTACTTGCCAAAAATACTATAAGTACAGCAAAACGGATACTCGACGCATCAAAACGGATACTAAGAAGAAATTACGATGCAAATTTGTTCTGATGCGCCATACCACAATCGTAAACGCATACTACGACGCATCAAAACGGATACTAAGAAGAAATTACGATGCAAATTTGTTCTGATGCGCCATACCACAATCGTAAACGGATACTACGACGCATCAAAACGGATATTGAAGAAATTATGATGCAAAATTTGTTCTGATGCGCCATACCACAATCGTAAACGGATACTACGACGCATCAAAACGGATACTAAGAAGAAATTACGATGTGAATTTGTTCTGATGCGCCATACTGATACCACAATCGTCGCACAACGGATCTGCGCACGTCAGTCCATCTCCATCTAACATCTTCAGATCTGTCATCAGTTGACCCCCTCGACTTGGCTGTGATGTGAACTGAACCATCACAACCTCCTTGAGTGGGTGAGGTGAGCGACAGAGCCTTCGCGATACCGCCAACAGTGGGAGACTGCCCAGTGATGGAGGAAACAGACAGTGGGCTGGTCATGGTGGACAGTGGACAGCGTCCACAGTAAGCTGTTGGACAGTGGAGAGCCCTCACAGTGGACTGGTGGACAGTGGACAGCGTCCACAGTGGACTGGTGGACAGTGGACAGCGCCTACAGTAAGCTGTGGACAGTGGAGAGCGTCCACAATAAGCTGCTGGACAGTAGTGGACAGTGGACAGTGTCCACAGTGGACTGATAGACAGTGGACAGCGTCCACAGTGGACTACTGGACACAGTGGACAGTGTGGGTCCACAGCGGACTGGTGGACACTGGATGAGCGTCCACAGTGGACAGAGACGGAGCCGACAGTACCCAACACACAGCGATCCCAGGCCCCGGGCGGCCACAGCCGGACGAAGAAAAATAAACAGCGACTGAAATTGACGAGTGCCGGCAGATGAAGCTTGGGTCACTGTCTCCATCCCTCCTCCGTTCCCCTGGCCGAAACCAGATGCTCCAATCTAGGAGTAAACAATAGGGTGTGTCGACCACAAAGAAATTACTGGAGACAGCTATTTTTTATGTCCCTGAAGCACAGTAAGTTCATTGGCATTCAGCTTTCATCTTACAATTCAAAGGCAACTGGCCAACAGACAATTGTCTGCGCAGAGCTTCTCCCATTCCGCGATATCAGCGCCATCTGCTTTTTAGCGCAGAGTTACGGTGGTCTTTCTGAGAAGCTTAAGTACACAGATGTCGCTAGAGTCGTCCGAGCCAACAGTCCACCGAAGCATTGACTTTGTAGTCGAAAAATACGCCCAAACACTAAACAGCTGCTGCCATAAACTATGTCTATTGTTTAGACAACCAACATAGCAGACTAGGTCGCCATTAACACCAGCCAAGTGCATCCCGTGTGTCAAAAATTCCGAATCCTAGCCTGAGTGGCAGCCCTCGCCCCTCCCCTAGCCTGCTCGCCGTGGGGGGCACGGACCGCCACAGCCGCATTTGCCTATCGGCCACCGCACTGAGCCCCTCCCCTCTCCCTCCCCACATATACTACTAACCAGTCAGAAACATGTAGCTATATACCGTAGTCGTAATCCCCCGTCATCTTAATGTCACGCTAAACCCGCGACGGGTTAGACGGCTCCGTGCGGACCCGGTGGCGATTAATATCGGCATCTGAAGTAACAGGGACGCAGACAATTCGAACGAATCTGACAGGTGAAAAACAACCCACATTCCACCGATTCTACTATCTACAGTGGCACCTCAGCCCGCACCGCCCAAAATATCTACGCCCAGAAGAGGATTTTACATTTGCACATCCCGCTTGGAATTGAACTTCGGGACGCTTTTACGGTGTTTTATGCACGCCGTGATGCGACCGTGTCGTGCCTCCTCGCCCACCACCCGCAAGCTGGCCTCTGTCACATCGCGCACGGCTCGCTCCACGGCCTGTGTGTGCACAGGATACGCCGAGACCCGGAGAGGAGCAGCTGCGATTCCTTGGAGTTCAGTGACACTTAGATCTCGCAGAAGGGGTGGCTCTGTGACCTTCTCCGCCGCCCAGTCGATGAGATCGACATACCGCTGGGCGCCGAAGTTGATGGTGGGAAGGGTGAACTTCCTCACCTCCTGTCCTTCCTTTTCCCTCTCGCGAGCGGCGCGAATGTGCTGGATCGCCGCGGTGCGGATCTCTCGATCCTCGTCTGCGATCATGGCGAGCAGGAGCTGCTCTGGGTGCGCCCAGTAGCCATTCTTGGAGATTACGGGCCTGATGATATCCTGGATATCCTGTGGAAGACCACGAAGGAGCTCGATGTTGCGGTAGACGTTCTTTGAGCCTTCGGTGCAGGCGTTATGTGTAAGGGCTAAATTGAGCGCGTGAGAGATGTGTGGAGCGGCGGGCCGGAGAACCAGAGTGCGTGTTAGGCCAGTCCGTCGTATGAGGCGGGGGGAAGGCGTGCCCGCCGGGTGAAAGGCAGCGGCTGGCCGGCACCTGGGACTCGCGGACCCGCCTCTCGAGGCATTTGCCTGTGCGGTGTCGTCGGGGCAACATCTTTCGGTAAGCGAATTTTCCATTCCCCCCTAAATTAATGCCGCAGCGCTGCGGAAGTCCCCGACAAATGTCCTGGATTTCATTTGGCTTTCCGACCCGCCGCAAATAGCGGTGGGCACTCCCGTTATATCCAGGACAGTCCCATCTAAAATAATTGGTCGGCGCGGCGCGAGGCGTAAATGAGTGAGCGATTGTAAGTGTGATGTGTAGTGTGCGTGAGAGAAAGGATCCGAGAGATTAACACTTTGTCCCGCAAGACCAAAATACAGTGTAATGGGAATGTGAGCCAAATATTTGAATTGGGTAAAGGCAGATGCCGGGCTGATACACGGTGAACATGAACGAACAATCATACGGGCCGCTTAGTTTAATACACCCAGGTGGCAGGCGGGCATTGTAGAGTAACTTGATTAACGTAATGTCTGTACATGGGGGGGGGGGGGGGGAACCAATAAAAGGATGCAGGTTCCGATGCTTGAAACCCCTACATCTGCTGCCTGAATTTTTCAGTCTAGAACATAATATAATGTTTTCTCAATGTAATAAAAGTGTGTAAATTGATGATGTCTTTAGAACACAGAAAATGCACAATAACAACAAAATACCTTTTACGACAAATTTTAGCGGCATGCTGATGTTTCACCTATCGAACATCGAAAAACCGATGAATTTCGGACAGGGTTCGGTACGGCCAAACATCTGATCTAGGTGGCGCCACCATAGAAATGAGTCATGAGTAGGTGGCGCTGGGGTCGAAAAGATAGATTCGGGCCCGT